CACCTAAAACCCCTTGTGGAGAACACTGCTTTTACACACACATACTTGACTTGCATACTTTTATACACATACTTGACTTGCATACTCTTCCACACACATACTTGACTTGCATACTTTACACACTCATACTTGACTTGCATACTTTTACACACACACATACTTGACTTGCATACTCTTCCACACACATACTTGACTTGCATACTCTTCCACACACATACTTGACTTGCATACACACATAATCACTTCGTCTCTGTAAGATCCCAAAAATGTTTTTTTATTTCTCATTTTCGATATAATAGTTCTAAATATATAATAACAATGTTACATAATCATTCCCATTATTATGAACAATTAGGAATTTACAACATGTGTAACTATGGGATTGGTAGCTTCTCAAAAATCAAATACAACCACTATCTTTATGCAGTACTATAGGAAGAAACAAACCCTGATATAATTTTAGGTTTGCGATGTGGAGGTAGAACTTTTGTTCAAAACATGGTTTTTTTTTACTAAATGTTCAATGGGTGAGGCTTTGAGTGGTGTACACAAAAAATGTGTGGGGGGGGGGGGGGTTAAATAAAAACTAATAGTCTGCTACTGCACACATCAGTAACCTGTCTGTTCAATGTGAGAGTGATTGATGTTGTTACAATCATTGTCATTGCTATGACAACTATCTATTATTATAAGATATGGGGAAAATGTCTGTCATCCATTGTTTTGTAAAGTAAGCATATTCAAATTAGCAGAATGCTATAATTATGAAACAATCAACAATCAGTCATCAGCCAAAAACCACAAATGAAATCAAAGGAGAATTTTCAGAATAATGGGGGGGGGGGCTTTGTCTACACAGGGCATAAATTTTGATTAATTTTCATTCAAAAAATCTTGAATAGGATCATAAAAACGAATGGACAAGTTCATGTTGCCCAAAATGTGATATATTTTCCGAAGTTTGAAGTTTAAACAAACCAGGCATGACTGAGACACAGGTGAAGATGCACAGAGGTATGCATGATGATCAAAACATAAGTCCCTGTTTTCAGACTCTGTCAGCAAGGGGACGAAAACATGTCTTCATGAACTGACAATGAATTCCATTATTCAGAACGTTATAAGTTACGTACTTCTCCACACACATACTTCTCAACATTGCTGCATGCAATATTGTCTCAGCATTGGTATGTGAATTTTTTTTTTTCAATTTGTACAACATTGTTTCAATATTGCTATGTACAACATTGTCTCAACAATGTTCTGTGCAACATGATCTCAACATTGTTATGTGCAGCATTGTTAAATGACGCATTATCTCAGCATTA